ATCTCTTAGGGCACTGATATAACCCATCTGATTACTATGGTTTGATTGTTTTAACTCTAGGATAATTTTAATATATATTATATTTCTTGATTACATGATTATGAGTAATTGAGACAACTCAATTAGTTCTTTAAAGTTTTAGTAGTTATTGAATTGTTATTACCTTGTCTTAGATATAACTAATTCATTAACTATGCTCAACCCATTCTTATTGGACGGTATCTGGTAGAGCCTTGCCGGACATAAGAATGGAGATCATATAATGGTGTTCCAATATTTTTTATAAATGAATATTTTCATAGTGTATGCTTAGGAAAGATGAATTGTTTACTAAATTAGTTAAAATAGTTGAAGTAGGTAGATGGATAGTTCATGCTAACCATAGATAGGTTATAGTTAATTGCAATTTATAAAACATTTTTCTTTAAAACTCAAATTAAAAGAATGTTATTGAGTTCAATTCATTTGAAATATAGTTTGTTAAATCCCTAGAGTTGAAATAGTTAACCATAGTATGAAAGTTGTGGTCAAGTCAAAGCCCTAAGATCTCTTTCAAAGCCCTAAGATCTCTTTCTCTGATCGCTTTAGTATAATTTAGTGTAATTTTATTTTATGTTCATAACAACCAACCAATCCATCAATTCAACCAGTTACCTGTAAACCAAATATTAGTTAAAAGCATAGCAAAGAAAACTCCTTTCCCTGTGGGATTGACACCCTCTATATAGTCCTATCCTATAAAGATTCATACTATTACGAGTGGTAATAAACTGAAATCTAAACACACATCAATCTTATCTTCGTAGGTTGGTGTGTTGATGATTGTTCATTTCTCTCAGGCCTTTTTCAAAGTTGTCAGTTGGGTAGGGATTTACGGGAGAGATTTAATTCCTTTTGTGATGTGGTGATAGGGAAATGGGGAATGGAATAGTGGTGTGACTGGGAGAATGGTATAAGGATAGTTGCTAGCATGGTTTACTCTTTAAGGATAGTAAATTTCGAGGATGAAATCCGTTTAAGTAGGGTACATTGTGATGTCCCAGATTTTTTCAATATTTTTTGAACATTTTATTTTCTTTTATTTTATTTGTGCACAGGGATGCTTGTCACGGTGTTCCACGAGGTGTTTTGGATGTTTCTTCGGATTTAGAACCCTTAGAAACTCATTTCAGTTCATTTCAGTCAATTTTGGTTTCGTGCCCTGCTGAGTGGGCCCCGCAATAGATTTTCATGTTTGGGAAATCTCTCGACATCACTATGTTCTTCATTCACATTGATATTATCTACTTTACACTGTATTGTGTTGTTTGCAAGTGTTAGGGACTTAAATGGGTTGTTTTAAGTTGTTAAGTGGAAGACAGGACTCACGAATTTGACTTTAGTATATAAGGAACGACTTAAGATATTTTGGGCCTCATTTTCATTTCATCTCTCTCTCAGCCGTGAGCTCTCTCTTCCCCACCATTTTTTTTTCTTTTCATTTTACTATTCATTTTACATGCTTCGGCATGCAGTTCAATCTATCTCGGGTAAGATTGTGATAATGTTGTAGAAGGATTGTTCAACAAGCGTGACAAGAGCTTCAAGCCTATGGTTTCGAATTTTGAATTGGAGCATTTTGGAGATTTTGGGTGAAGGTGGAGTTCGGATTTTAGAGGTGTCGTAGAATGATTATTTTCTCTCCTTCGCATCCTCTTTCATCCTATGGAGCCAGTTTGCGAGGGGAGTATTTCGGTTTCAGTGTAATTGGGATTTTCATCCTAATTTGAGATAAGGATGTTTAATGTATTAAAATTTGCCTTTTCATGAGTTCCTTAGCCCTGATTTCATGATATATATATATATATATTTGAAATTGATAATTTTGATTTACAATGCTTGATGAAGTTCTAGACTAGAAAAATTATGATTTGAAGTGAAAAATGTATGTTTGTATAATAAAATGCTTAATTATGATTTTTGATGAGAAAACGATGTTGTATTGTAATGGTGGTTGTGTATTGGTATGCTAGGTTGTTACATTGTTTGCAACGAGTAGAATTTGATATCTTGGAAATACTTGTATAGCTATGGTGATCTTGTTTTGATGAAAACCATGTTTAATTAATTTAATGAAGATGTCAAGTATGCTAATATTAATTAAATGCTTTATGCTTTAAATTCGTTCACTATATAGATATATTTGAATGCTAATGATGAATGCATAAGTTAGCAAGATGAGATGGTGCGATTAAATAATTATTTATAAATGGTTTTAATTATTGATTTCATTTCCATATTCATTACATTTTATGCAAATGGCATGGTTGTTGGAATTGAGTTGAGTTGTTAGAGAAAGAAATGAATTTTAAGAAGTTTGTGAAAAGGTTTTAGAGAAGAACCAGATTTCGCGAGACCAATAATAATTTGACCTAGAAAGAGCGCGTGTAGGATTTGGATGTGTAACATTGTATAACTAGGCCCCAAATGGTTATCATATTTGAAGCTAGGGATAGTTAAGCGATCTCACCTTGGTAAAGTCAATTAACGATTTTTGGTGTGAGTTATGTCAGTTTCATGACCGAGATTGGGATAGCATTGCATTTTATGGTACTGTGCTCATGTTCAGATTATTGACTTGTTAAGTGAATGCCATTGTTGTTAAATGTGTTTTCATGAGTACCTGAAAGCCCAACCATGATCCCAATTATTCTTTGACCCCATTCTTTGGTGTGTTAACTCAAGGGTGTCCAAAATTGATGCCTTAGGCATCTCTTACTGAGCAATGATGCTCACCCCTATTATACAAATATTTTTAGGTACTCATCCCTATTTTCAGGAACAGAGTAGCTTCAGATGATTTTAGAGTTGAAGACTCACTTTTGGGCTCATTTCTATACTTGTGTCCAACTTTCTCTTTTTGGATGTATTTTTAATGTAATCATGCTATCATGTATATTTTTGGATTTCAAACTCAATGTTGTACCCCACTTCCATTGGAAATGTAAATTCATATTTTACTTTTTGAAAAGCATGTATATTAATTTCAAAATGGTGTATTGGAGGCCAATGAGCCATTTCAATTTAAAGTATACTTTATATGTTAAATGCATATTTTATATGTCCTATGTGTTTATTTATGTTGTTCTTGCATTTCCATACCATGGTCTATCATTGGGGATGTTTAAATAGCATTTTTTGAGGTTATTTTCACTTCGAGTTCTCATCTAACTGATTAGATAAGGCATGTAGTCGATTAGATGGCTTTTCCAGTGGGCATTTTTATTTTTTTTCTGCTCCCAGGTGAACTAAGTTGACTTATTCTCAAAGAAGTTGACTTATTTCTCAACCAAGCCGACTTAGTTTGCAAACAAGCCGACTTATCACTGCTTCTTGACAATTTCGAGGTTTTATTTTCAAATGGCCATATCTTGCTCATTTTAAATCCAAATTAGGTCATTCTTAAGCCTAAATTGTATAATTTTGAGTCAGCTTTCCAATGTTACCAATTTCATTCTCAGATTCCAATCCTACTGGGATATATTCAAGATTTAGTGAGACAGTGTCGAAAATCACTTAAGCCGAAAAGGGGTATATGTAGGAGATCATGACAAAGTCCTTAGAACCTCTTTGTATGTTATGAAACGATTAGCATAAATTTAATAGACCTCATTTGACTTGTTTAGAGTTAAATTATCTCCTCAATATATGAAATGACCATAGTATCTTTCTATGTCCCCGAGTTTGAATAAGGACCCGATTAGCGATTCAGATCTTCAAATTTGGGTTGTTACATCCTTAGTCTATCACATATGAAATGAACACAATTGGAGGATCGATCTTCAAGAACAAATCCCTCACTGCTAACTCATTGTTACATCTCACCTTGGAAACAATGAGATCCAAACTATTGTCGTCTTCAATCTCAGACTCCTTCAATGCTAGAAGAATTATAGAGGAATGGGAAGTTCCCGAATCGGTACGTGATACGGTCGCGGACGAAACCACCTAATCCAAGGAGCTGAAATGGAGTGTTTGGTGGAGATAATCTCCTTGTTCACGGGACTATAAAGGATGGCCAGTAACAGTCATGCGCATTTGAATACTTGGGTTAGTCAAATGTTTGGGCCTCTTGGGTTATATCATGTTGGGCTTCTTTGTAATGTGTAGTTAATTAGCATTGGGCTAACTTGCCTTATGGGCTGTAAATTTGTCAATATATATATATGTGTGTGTGTGTGTGTATATATATTTGAAAATTTAACTTTAAAAAAAAATAAATAAATAAAAAGTAAATAAAAAAATAAAAAAAAGCTTGGCATAAAGAAAAAGATATACCAGCTAGTTAATCAACCTCTTTCCTACTTCCTCACGAATTTAAACTTTGCCTCAAAAATTGTCATGGGCTGGAACGTACGTGGGAGCCTAACTCTACCAACACAGACCATCACCAATCCCCATACTCGCACCAACTCATACTGTAAATTATACTACCTCTATCCCTTTATAATTGTCTAAATCCATATTGCACAGTTTGTAAGGCAATAATTTTTATCACAATTTATTACATTGGTAAAAGATGCATTTCTAAATTTGTTCTTTCCTAAAAATTTGTAAAAGTAGTATGGAAAAGTTATTTTTAATAGAGTCCACTTATTACATTGGTAAAAGTAGTATGAAAAAGTTATTTTTAATGGGATTCACTTATTTTGAAATTTCAATTAGTTTAATCTTTTAGGAATAAATTGGGAATGTAATAAAAAGTAGTTTATTGATTTTTGAAATGTGACAACTAAAATGGGACAGCAAAAAATGAGATAATGGACTATTAATATGGCACGGAGGAACTAACAATAAACAAAAAAATATATAGAGAGAGGGAGGGGGAAAAAGGGGGGGAGATTGAAGGAAATAAATGAGCCGCCGCTAAAATGTGTAATAATAATATAACAAAACTTTCCTTTTTCCCACAATAAGTATGGGTACATGGAGAAGAAAAAATCAAGGTAATTAGGTTGGTGCTACAGTTCTTTTTTAGCTTCAGCAGTCCAATAACCTTTGATAGCAACAAGAATTTTCTCGGGATTAAAAGGTCCACTTTCGTGATCCAGAATCTGTGTCTTCCATCTCATTCTATCTGTTATACTTTTAACCTTCACAAGAACCTCTACCACATCTCTGAATATAACAATCCCTTCTGGCCGCAGGATTCTATCCATCTCCAAGAGAATGAAGGTAATATCACACCTTCAAACAATGGAAATTGATTAAGATGGATATATATATATATGTATATGTATGATGATGGTAGGAAATTAATTAATTTAATTAATGTAGTACGTACATACCTGTCTTGGTATATACTGAAGAGGGCAGTTGCATGAATGAGATCATATGTTCGTGGATAGGTTGAGAATGGCTCACACCAGTCATGGTATGTCCCAATTAAGCCACGTTCATAGATTACACCTAGAGTGTCCTGATTTGAATCGGCAGATACCACGTTCATTACCCACACTGGATATTTCAAAAGGGCTGCTGCAAATCCACCTAGGTAAGCATTCATGTCCATTATATTTCTGTAACGTCCTTTGGGTAAGGCATTAATAATATGTTTGTAATGTGTCACCCGCTCCTTCCACATTTCACTATCTTGTCGAAAAATTTCTAGGGTTATGCCAGGCACTGAACCGCTGGCTATTCTTGGAGGAACAGAAAACACACGATGGGGCCATTTCTCCAATGCACCACCCGCCACTTCATTTGACTTGTTTACCTCAGGCAGTGGAGTTATGCAAGTTTCCATCTCTTTATACCTTAATTAATTAATTAATTATACATATCACATATGTGTTAGATAGCAAGAATGAAGTGGATATATCATCATCAGTTAAAACATGCAATATATATATAGTAGGAATTGGAATTAGTATGTACCAAGCTGCATCAGCATTGTCTGATTTGCATATGTGTGGCGTATCATAAATCTTCCTGCTGTTTATGCAATCAATGTGGTTGATGGGCTTTTGCCACACTGCAAGGTCATCCTTTTCGATCACTTTCTTCCAACACAGACGCTTGACAACATCCTCAATTGCATCTTGCTCTTTTTTCAAATCTTCTTGGGTTCTTTCCCAACCCTTCCAGTACTTCTTCCACCGGATAGGAGGTCCGGAGAGTATCCAATAACCACCAGGCCTTAGAACTCTGTCCACTTCAATTAGGTATAATCCATCTGCATGTAGAATTTAATTACTTACAAGAAAATTCCATCTTCAGAAATATAAATGTCTGTCTTACATACCATATTCCTGCCAAGGGATCAGGCAACGGGAACAATGAGCCATATCAAATGCCCTAGCAGGGTAAGGGAGTCTCTGTGAAGACATGATGCCAATCATAGCAGGAACTCCCCGTTCCAATGCAAACTGAACCTGCGCCTCATGTGTGTCTCTAGGAGCAAAAGACATCGCCAGGATGTCCCTCTTTAACAGGTAAGCACCCCAACTGGCAACCTGCTTATATATGCAACACCACCGATCGAGTCAAGAATTAAATGGCATATATATATATATATATATATGGCATGCAAATTTTTACTTACTCCACAGCCTGTATCGATTGCAGTCCGGATACTTCCATCATTAAGAGGTATGAGCTTAGCAATATCATCAATATAAGCATCAGCTCCATCGGCAAACATGGTGCCTCCACCGGGGAATCTGAATCGATCACCCTCTACTTGGATCCAATTCTGCACGGCCTTCTCAACGCTGAGCTCTTTATGGGGAATGTTGACATACCACGCATAGTCCCTGCTCTGTGGCCATTTGAAAGGGGTCTTATAGTGTGGCGGGGCAGGTATCAGGCAACGAAGGAGGTCTTTCTTGTTAGGGCAATGTCTCTCTCTGTATTTCAACATTTTCCGTTCAAATTTCCTACTCCTTACTGGATCCTGACATGGGGTGTATTCACTGTAGGACAAATCACAAGCAGGGAATTTCTGGGATTCCTGAGAACTACTGTTAACCACCAACTGATGATGAATTCCGAAGTCGAGATTGGCAGAAGATGAAAATGATGATGAATGGCTGTCTCCTGCCACTACTGGTGGAGATCCGCCATCAGCACAACCAACTCTGTTGTACACCTCCGATCGGCTGGTTGGAGCAGGACTTGTACTCTGCCAAGATCCCAATGTGTAGCAAATAACACACAGCCCACTAACAACCACCACCCAAGTCACACGCTTCCTCTTCGATTGCTTCCAATATCCACTATACTCCTTGGCCATTTTTAATTAATTAAATAAATCCTTTCAATAATTAAAACAAGAGTTGCAGAATACTTTATATTTGTATTTATATGTATATGTGTATACACCCACAGAATGTATTTATTTTTTGATTACCTATAAAATTAAATAAATAAATAAAATCTTCTGCTCTTGTTCTTTCTATTTTTTTTTATTTTTTTTTATTAAAAACAAATGCGGAAAAAATAAGAAAGAAGATCCTCAATCTAAAAGGAAATATTTAAAAATAAATAAATAAAACAGCGGATCACTGAAACACGGAATAAAAAGACGAGAAGATCAGAAGGTTATTGAAGAATGTTAGCAAAAGTCACAAAAGCTTAAACGACATAAACAAGTTCTACTGGTGAAAAGGAAATGTCATCAGATCAGAGTCAGACCACACACATTTTTTCTGCATGTATATTTTGTTTTTATCATATTTCTTTCCATTTTTGGATTATGAGTGAGAGGAGGGAACTGGGAATGGGTGGGAGTGAAATGCTTAATTCGCATCGAACCGCGATTCTCCTTCCACTCCCACTCCCACTGACTCGCCTCAAAAATCTCGCACCCACACGCACACCCCGTCGTATTTATAGGGAGTCAGTCTGTTGTTGGAGTGGAGAAATTATTGAGTAATCCAGAGTACATATAATGTAATATGCTAGCCAATAAATATCTACTATTTTATATTTTTTGTAATAAAAAAAGAAGAATGATACTTAGACCCTCACTAGTGAGGATCTACACCATCCTCACTAGTGATATACACCAATAATAAATCACCATCTATGTGATTTGGTGAATGTTTATTTACCCATCATAATAAATTACATCTATGTAATAGCATGTCTGTTTATTATTGGCCTATATTACTAGTGAAGATGGTGTAGATCCTCACTAGTGCGGACCTAAGTATTGCTCAAAAAAGAATTACTATCATTATTGCAGGAGACGCTATAATTTCAACCCATTTCAACCCATCTTTGTAGTTGCCTTTCTGATTAATTTTTCGGTTCCTCCTAATTATCATATCACTATCATTGTAATTTATAATTAATTGTATCATATTCTAAATAAATAAAAAAAAAAACTATATGAATTTTGAAAAAATAATGATAAATTATTGTTAGTTGTGCAGCGGAATATATTGTAGATAGTTTAAGTTATATATAAAGAGGATTTAATCACGTATTTCTCTATTTAATTAATTATACTAAAATTACCGATTAATTAAACAATCTGAAGGGTCTCAAAATGCTCTCTATATTCAGAAAGAAATCCCATACACTTCACACAAAAGGTCCATTCCTTTCTCTCTCAAACTTCCTTTTATAGAAGTGTACATTTTCCCAAACACCTCTCTCAACAATCTCAAACTTGGGCTGATATTAAATGGGCTTTATATTCGGGCCATAGTGGATATCAGTCCGCCTTATAATGCTAAAGAGACTGGGCTTAGGAATGGCGGATTCGAACATTAGGCCTAGCAGGTTGTCCTTTAAAGCAGATCAGTAGCCCAACAAGGCTCTGAGCTGAGTAAACCGGCCATAAAAAAGCCCGGTCCATTTTCCGCCCCTTCACCTGCCCCTCCAATCTCTCTCTCATTAATGAGAGTGAGATTCACGAGGCAATGTTATGATTGATGTGACGGCTCGAAGTGTGATGGAGGGAGGCGAACGACTTGCACGGAGATCTAGGTTTTGAAAATTGAAGCTCTATTATTGCCTTTTGATGCTTCGGTCAATATGGTGATCCCCTTTATAACCTCTGGCTTGTAACTGTAAGTCTTTTCTCCTATTCTCTCTGTCTCCTCCCCTCTTTTTTGTCAACCGGAAGTATCTCCGGCGGGCATTTTTTTTGAAGCCTTTCATCTCCAACCTTCTGCAGTGACTTGTTGACTTCGTTCTTTAAGGTTAGTCTTGGTACCTTCTTATTTCTTAGAAATCTCTTTCTTTCTTCTTTCTTTAAATTTGGGGATTTTTTTGGCCGTTGCCTTGGGGATTGATCTAGAATCCATTCGTGAAAAATACGAAATCCTCGGCGATGTTTACATCAGAAAATACCCTATTAAACTTAATGTGAGGACTGTGAGGGTCTCCTTCAATGGGAGATCCTTTTCTCTCCCCTTCACCTGAACGTAATTAGATTCCCCTTACACCCTTTATTTTCTTAAGTTTTTAATAAGTTAAACTTATCCCCACTTCAAGTGAACCCCAACTTCCTTATGATCATTTTGGTCTTTCTTATCATGATTGATGATAGGGATCTGGAGCTTGACCTCATTGATCTTCTCCTATGTTATAGGATCATCAAAATTAGGCAGGACGACTTATACTATCACCTCTTCCCTCTTGCCAAATGGTCAATCTGTTTGGATAAACCTGACTCTAAGAAGGGTTGGAAGAAAGACATCAATAGGGTTAGAGAAGCCTGGCAAACCCCATCTCTCAGGGACTTTCCCATTCCGACTATCTTTGGCGAGTGCTCCATCCCCTTATATGTTAAATTCAAAAAACAAATGAGTGGTTGTAAATGTGAAATCTGTCTCTCTCACTACATCTTTTTTCATTGTCATTCTCTGGGCATTCTTTATAATGAATTAAGTTATAGCGTTTGTAGGGCTCGACTTACCACTTTGGAAAAGAAAGTGTGGACCAACATACCTTCATCCTCCGAGTTACTTACTTTAGAGGCCCTCAACAGCATATCATTTCTAGGGATCTGCATGGAAGAGCTAAGGATTCCCTCATTTAGAAAGAAGAATGATCTCCCTGAGGATGTCCCTAACACCACTCCTGGCTCTGAGGATCTTTCGGCCAACCAGGAGCCCGCCTTGTCAAAGAGGAAAGGGAAGAGACCCTTATCAGAGGGGGGTCTAGATCATACATGAATGACTTTCCCTTGGCACAAAGGTCTCGGATCTCTGGGGTGACCGATCCCAATACTCAGTGAGAGGCGCCCACTTCTGGTGGCACAGCTGGAGAAGCGGAGGGAGCTTCTTCTAACCCCTCGAAAGTGATCCCATGGACTCCCAAGTTCATCCGAGCGGATGGGTCAATCATTGCCCCCAGCGATACTATGTTCAAACATGGTTCGACCGCTCTGTCTTATTACTCACACCTGTGGACTCTACAGGATATGAGGGTTCAGACGAAGATTACCAGAAAAGAAATGTTCTCTCGGTTCACTCTTTTTGCCATGGAAGTATCTGTATTTTTGACTTGGAATTGTCTTTTTTCATTCCCTTGTCGTTTTATAATCAGTATTGCTTACCCTGAACATAATAGTTTTCCTGTGTTTACCTGCAGACTTTGTTCGGGATGGTGATAAGTGCTGAATACTGTATATTCAAGCGCCCTAAATTACATTAACAAAGTCCATTAATTGATTATTTTATGTAGATTAACTTCATTTGCATGTTTTTGTACATTTTCAGGTTAAAGTGCAAAAAGGAAGCAAAAATGATGCCTTGTGGAATTTTGAACAAAAAGGGTGCCAATTCTGAAATTCTGGCAGCAGTAGAACCTGAATTTTATCGCCATTTTCGACCTAGAAAACTCAATAACTGGACTTCCATCATAACATGAAAGATTTAGAGCTCTGAATCAGCTTTCCAAATCTTCAAGCGGTTCATCATTCGGAGTTCGGAGCAGAGAGTTATGATCTTCTTAATAGAGGTGCGCAGAACTTCCTGGCAGCAATGAAGTACTGCCTTTATCCCCATTTTCGACCAACCAGACTTGAGAATTGGGTCTTCATCAAAACATGAAGTTTTTAAAGCTCTGAATCAGCTCTCCAAATCTTTAAACAGATCATCATTCGGACTTTGGAGCACAAAGTTATGGTCATTCTTCCACAGTGGGTCAGAGATGGGCAAGAATTGCATGTTGCTCATTACACTAATTTAGAGTGCTCGAGACCACCCTTCGAGTGCTCGAAATTCTGGCAGATTGCACATGGAAATGGCTCATTTCAGCCACTTGCACATTGGTTTCCTCAATGCCATCTTCCTTCTTTATGAAGTGGTTGGAGGTGTTCCTTGGAGGAGAGAGAGCCTTGACTTAAGCTTGATAAGAGAGAGGGAGGCCACACATATCATTATCCTAGATTCTAGCAAGATAGAGGGGAGAGAAGAGGGCAAAAAGAGGGGAGTTCTTCAAGCAAAAGGAAGGAGCACGAAAATGGAGTCTTGGATGGAGCTTCTTCCTTCTTCTAGCTTAGCAATGGGTAACTAACTCTTTCTCTAGGGAGGTGATGAAGTCCCTCCCTTGTAAGCATGTCCTAGGATAGTCTATTTTGGGGATTTGCCATGTATATTTTATGGTCTTTTCATAACCAAGAGCACCTCATTTGTTGTAATGAATGTTGATACATGTATGGATGATTTCTTTAAGTTGATTATCTTGTTTTAGATGATGTCTTAGAGTAATCATATTGCTTGAGTTTTCATGGTGAGAGTGGAAGCAAGGTTATGAAATGATTTCATGGCATGTTGATAGGTGACTTTGATAGACCATTACTTAGGAAATCTTTTGATGGTGTATGCTTAATCTCTAACTCCATGTGCTTTATCATTTTGTCAAGAACTTGATAGTCTCTCATTTAAGTAAATGTGTATAAGCTACACCTTAGTTAGGTAGTCTAAGCATGTTTATCTTTTGATGGATTATACTTGTTTGAGACGTAATGTACCTCTTGATTACTTACATGGCAACCAGGTGTTACTATGTAAGTCTTGACCATCATATGTTATTTTTCCCCCAATTTAGGTCTAATCTAGCATATGTATAGGGATGGAGGCGGATTCACTTCCCTAGTCTCCTCTTCTTAATCTTTTCATCCTAAATTCCTTGCAAATTAGTGTTTTATGCACTTTGAATTCCTAATTTAAGTGACAACAAACAAAACCTCTATGAACATCCCTTCATCATCCTAAGAATGACTCTAGACACTTAGGTTGCCTTAGACTAGCGCAGTCCCAGTGGTTCGACTTA